CGAAGCATGGGCCAGTGACTGGCTTCAATCCACAGATATCAATGGCTAAATCACATATAACAATATCAATGATGGTTTGCATCCAAAGTATGTTATCTGATTAGATGTTTGGAGAAGAACATTTAACCAGAAGTGTCCTTCTCCCTAATAATCCAGTCACCATCATATGTCGTTGTAACCTAGTTTGAGACAACCAATCTCAACGCACGCACATATAACATGACGCCTTATAGCTTTATAAGAAAACTCACAGCGCAACTTAAGACGGAAAAGATACAGGAAAATTATGAGTGCGAAAAATGTCGCGGAAAGGCACTGGCAAAAAAATAGACCACAAAAGAGAATCAAGCTGCAAATGGCAACCGTTAACTCGGAGATTGTAGGATGATTTTTTTGTGTGAAAAAAATAGCACAATTGTTGAAATCCAAAGCACAAACAAAACTCGGTAAATGTGAAATTTATCCGAAGTTTATTGGCTTAGACAAACAATGCAAGAAACGGGAATGTAGTTCGTGTCAGTGAAACGTACAATTAACGCCATAAGAATAGGATTTCATTYCATTTTTTCTTCATTTGAATGCAGGGTTTTAACTTATTGCGATTCTCATTTTTTGCTCGTCGTACGTCGTTAACACACTTTTATCGGTTATGACACGGGAAACCCAACCTTTCGATCTATTGTCGCATAAAATCTAGTAARATAGTCATGACGTAATGTCTAATGGGCACATGGTCTAGTGCAACGTTTCTGCTGTTGACACGAGAGGTCCAGACTTGAGCCCCATCGAGAAAATAAATTTCTTTGTCTTCGAAAAAAAAAGAAAAAGAAAGAGGAAGACAGTGAAGTTGAATTTATAGCAGATATGAATAAATTAATTAATAAGTCAAATAAGTTAACAACACAGTTTACAGGAAAGTGAGTGACTGACTGACTGAGTGACTTAGTGAGTGACAGATCGTTCCCCTACAATAACTCTTCGATTGCTAACGCAATCTCCGAATCTACATTGTTTGAGGAGCTGGCAATGATTGTTCTTTGATCTCTACTGAAACCTGCACTTCGTTCGCCCCATTCGACTAATTTCCTTTTCTTGTCTCTTGGAGTAGTATCAGCACGGACCAATAAGGTTCCATATTAGATGGCACTACATTAGATGGCACTACAAGTAGTATCAGCACGGACCAATAAGGTTCCATATTAGATGGCACTACAA